AGATGCAGGGTCTGCTGGCTGGGTGCTGGCAGGCTTGCACCTGGCATGGGCACCATAGCCAGCCCGTGCCCCTTTAAGGGGTCCGGGGCTGGGAGGGGTCATAGAGTTTCCCTGGTGTTGGCCAGAGTGGCCACCAGGGAAACCTGGGAAGCTTTAGCCTCCCACTAGTTCGAATTAAGGGTCTACACACCCCTTAATTCGAACTAGCTAGTTCGAACTAGGCTTAATCCTCGTAAAATGAGGTTTACCTAGTTCGAACTAAGCGCTCCGTTAGTTCGAATTAAGTTCGAACTAACGGAGCGCTAGTGTAGCGCCTATCAAAGTTAGTTTGAACTAACGTCCGTTAGTTCGAACTAACTTTGTAGTGTAGACATACCCTAAGGTGGTAAAGAATCAAAAGATAATGCACCATTTTAGTTTCTATGCAGGAGTTTAAATTTCATGATGGAGTATTTTGGTATATTTTAGAAATGCATTTGTTAGTTCGAACTAACTTTGTAGTGTAGACATACCCTAAGGTGGTAAAGAATCAAAAGATAATGCACCATTTTAGTTTCTATGCAGGAGTTTAAATTTCATGATGGAGTATTTTGGTATATTTTAGAAATGCATTTTGTGGATTTTTTCTCTTCTTAAATTTATACTGTGCCAAATGCCGAGGCCTTAACTCAATTTCTACTCAGCCTTTACACAGGCAAGATTATTACTGAAATAAAAGGGAGACGGGATAAAAACTGTGTGAGGACCTATGTATGTGGGCTTGTTGATTCTAGCAATACTTACTGCAAAAGCACATTCTTCCCCTGGAGACATGCCATTCAGAAGGCAGATTTCTGTGAGGGGATATCATTTTCCCCTTGTCCAGCAGCTTTCCTGTGTCTATGGGGTTAGCATATACAGCAGTGTTGCTTATGCCAGTATTAAGAGAGAATTACCAGATGGAATTATTCGGGAGCAGTATGTTTCCGCTAGGTGGTGGGCTTGGTATATTCTTGCTTTTTTAACCCTGCAGTGGTTTATTCACTTTGGCTTATAAATTGATGTTTCTGGCAAAGAACTTGAAAAAGGAAAGACATTTATTACTAATATTTTACTGTGTTACATCATGCCAGGTTCAGCTTTGCAGAATATACTGGGCCCAAGAGTGCAAGATGTTTTCAAATGAGCAGTTTGTAGATTCTGGGGTTGAACATTTCTCTTTAACCCTTGCATCCTCTGCATTGAAATGACACTCACTTTAAATTAGTTAAATAGAAAATACAGTTTCAATAGCTGTTGAATATTTCATGTTTAGCTCACTCACCCTATTGTGTCCGGGTGTTACAAAGGCCTAAGAAAATGGGTGATGTGTGATACACTATTATTATGATGGAATAACAAGACACAAAACAAATTCTACTTTCTTCAGAGCTATCAAATCAATGCAGGACTTCAGACCTTGAGTAACATTTTCAAAAACATCCAAGGCCTGGTCTACACTCGACCAGGAAGGCTGGCATGAGGGATACAACTCCAGCTATGTAAAATGCTTACCTTAAGCCAAGCCTTGGCAGCATCCACACAGCAGGAAGCCAATGGTCCCACCCAGACTCTGTCCCCAGAATACCGGCAGTAGGTGTTCTGGGGGCAGAGTGTTGCTGTTCCCAGCACCCACTCTCCCTGTGCTCTGGGCCGGGGAGACTGGAACTGCGCAGCCTCCTCCCTCCCCTGGTGCTCTGGGATCAGTGCCACGCAGCCTCCTCCCCCGCCCCCCAGTGCTCTAGGGAGGTTGGGGAGCTGTGCTGCATGCATGTGTCCCCAGAATACCGGCAGTAGGTGTTCTGGGGGCAGAGTGTTGCTGTTCCCAGCACCCACTCTCCCTGTGCTCTGGGCCGGGGAGACTGGAACTGCGCAGCCTCCTCCCTCCCCTGGTGCTCTGGGATCAGTGCCACGCAGCCTCCTCCCCCGCCCCCCAGTGCTCTAGGGAGGTTGGGGAGCTGTGCTGCATGCATGCATT